TTTTTTAAATCCTACATAAAAATACACACACCCATATATTTTCCCACAGAAGTTACAAAGGAAAAGTTACATTTTAAAATATAAAATGCAACAGTTTTCTATCTAGCATTACCGAATTTCTCATTGATGTCCTTATGTCCTTGTAGTTGGGATTTCTGTGTTGCAAGGTATTTGCTGCAAAGTCTGAACTTTCAAGAAGGATGTCTGCAGATCTGAGTGTGAGACGGAGGACTGGTGGGCACACGTGCACATGGAGACCAGGTAAGCACACCACAAGAAGGCAGCAGAGGGTAGCTGAGAATCAGGAATTGGGAGCTTTTGCCAGAGGAAGGGCCCTCTTTCCTCCTGGTGGAGCGTGTGGATTTGAGTGAGTGAAGAGTTGTATGTCTTGTTCCTCCTGGATAAAGACCACTAATCCATATACTGTAGCAATTCCATGTCAACATGGTTCATTTGCTGTGATGCTGGCCTGTGTCCTGCACTTAAAGAGCCTGGTCTGGGCAGGCAGTCTCTCAGCCACAAGCCAGGACACCTACAAGTCCCTGGGACAAAGAGTAGGTGCTCGAGGCAATATGAAGTTATGTTAGTGAAGGGGTGTGTTTTATTGCTGTGACCAAAGTAGCTGACAAGAACAACTTAGAGGAGGAAAAGTTTATTTTGGCTCATGGTTTCAGAGGCTCAGTCTGGTGTCAGCAGAATACATCACTCTGGGCCTGAGGTAAGGCAGAATGATCATGGTGGAATGGCCTGGCAGAGGAGAGATACTCAGCTCAGGCAGCCAGAGCTGAGATGGAGGAGCCAGGGGACAAGACGTAGTCTCTAGGGGAAATACTGCCAGCAACTTACTTCTTCTAGCCACACCCCTATAGTTATCTACAGTCACCACCCAGTGTTGCATTCAAATTATTAATCTAGCAAATGGATTAATCCACTGATCAGGTTTCAGCTTTCACAATCTAATTATGTCACCGCTGAACATTCCTGCACTGCCTATCACATAAGCTTATTGGAGGGCAGTTCATATCTAGACCATAATAGAAGGCAGGTAGGGAGAAAGCCACCACCCCACCAGAGCAGAATTCAGTCTATACAGCTCACAGCTCTCATCCTGGGTTTCATTTGTAAATGATACTCCTTCTTTTGGAAAAGAAGTTATGAATTATAAGAAAGGTTCTTTTTTGTTTGTTTGTTTTTTTGTTTGTAATTACCAAGTTTTCTATAAAAAACATGTATTGGACTTCCTTCCACCTAGAAATTTTTACCTAAAAACATAAAATCACTGATATAATATCATTAATAAAATCCACTACCGATAACACTGCACTTGTTTTTAATAGATCGTACTTTTTAATTCATTCTGTCACTGTTTTTTTAAACACTGCAAGGTTTTCCTGCTTGATTAATTTAATCTCATAGGTGAGTACATATAGTCACACTGAATTTTATAAACATTTGCAATCTCTTACAGCCTTCCAAGCCCTGAGTCTATTTTATATTATTATAATTAAACAACTGATATTTTATGCAGAAATATAACAAAGAAAATATGTATGAATTTACGAAGTCAATAAAATAAGGTACATAAACATTATTGTTTTCTGTCAGTTTACATTTGACAATTTATCTAAGATTTGCTCCTAATTTGCTACAGAAGAGACGAATAATTTCTATTTTCAAATTTATTGTTTTAATTGACAAATATTATGTGTATATCAAAACTTGCTTTGACATATGTACATATTATGGATTTGCTAAATCAAGTCAATTAACTTATGCATTGCTTCACATACTTGTCTTTCTTATAGTGAAAATATATAAGAATTCTGAGAAATTTTTAAGTATTGTATATGTGAAATCTAAAAAAAGACAAAATCATAAAAGGGGAGAGTACAATGGTTATCATGGGCTGGGGCTGCAGCAGTGGAAGTGAAGGTAGAAACATGTTCATCAGAGGATATAAACTTTTGGTTAGATACAAGGAGTGCATTCAGGAGATCCTTGTACAGCATAGGACTATCCTTAATACCATTCATTAGTACCATTAATACCATTAACATTTGACTATCATTAATACCATTTCAAGTACTGTGCACTTGAAAATTGTTAAGGGAGCAGAAAAATCATTCTTTGTATCACTATTTTTTTTCTAACAAGAACATAGCAGTCCTAGCCACCCATTTATTTTAATGCCATATTTGTAAAATAAATGTAAACTCCCTAAACAAAAATTAATATTTCTTCAAAGGAGTATTGTATAAAAATTCAAATTCCATTCATTATAAATCTCCTGTTTTATTGTCATGTCAAAACTTTGATCCTAAAACATTAGAATGTGCAAGAGAGTAGGGAAAAAGTGGTTACTTTAGAACCAAAGTGCTTGTAAAACAGGCTTGGCTCCAGGGGGACATGAGGGCATCTGCCAGGCGAGTCTGCCAAGCCCCCAGTGGCTGGCCCTGGAAGCAGGCCTTCTGTGACTTGTCCTCTGGACTTGCTCAGTCTGATGAGGCACACATTTGCTCACATTGCATTCAGGCATTTTCTTGGCCCTGTACCCAGGATAAACACAAACCAGAATAGGAAAGAATATATGACTACTGCTCTCAGCAAATCTAGAATGGAGGCGGGAAAAGGAAGGCACCAAATCTTGTCTTTTAACGGTGCATGTGATGCTGAAAAATAATTGAATTCTAAAGTTGCTAAGTGATGTTTTCCTGTTGTTCACATCTTTCGAAGCTGCTCGGGCACACCTTGGACTTGAATATCCTCCAAGTTTACACATGTAAGGAAATGACAGGAAATTAAGAACTCTAAAACACTAAAGAGATTAACTGTGATAATTTAAAAAATATGGAACTGAATACTTGTCGACATTTTCTGTAACTGAGGCATGTGAATGCGTGTCGCTTGTCAACATGTGATTAACTTGTATTGTCAAAACTTGAATTTTTTTTTCCCATGGGAATATTATTTCATAAATTTGGATAATTAACTGAAAACATTTTAGTTTCTCACATTGTGTAATTAATCTTCTAAAAATTTTAATATTAGCTCCCAGTTCTACAAATGTTAATGTTTTATGTAATTTGAATAATTGTGCTAGCCATGTGCATGTTCAATCAACTTAACAGCTATTCGTGCTCTACAATCCTTGGCATGAGAGGCACTGTCAGGTAGGACAGATGTTCTCATTCAAATTAGAATCATCTGAGGAGTTGTCATACCCCTGCTGTGAGCCCCAGACCAGACTAGTGTACTTGAGACTTTTAAACACGTAATCTTAAATGTAGCTTCTGCGTTTGGGCTGTCTAGAAATTCTCTTCTCAGAGACAGGGAGGGCTTGCCCGAGATCCCTGCAGAGACCAGCACTTGCTAGCAGGGAGAGGTAGGGTGAGCCTCAGGGACCACAGAACTGCCTTGTGGTTCCTGGCCAAAGTCTGCATGGGGGAAGGCCACACAGGAATGTGGAGGCTGCTCAGCTGGAGGAAGATAAAGTAGAATCGAGATTTGACCTCCAATGCTTGACTCCTCTGACATAAACTCATCATGGTGGTGCTAGTCCCAAAAAGTCCCCACAATTATTTTGCCTATTTCTATGTTTATTGAGCATCTTGTAGGTGTCAGTGTTGGAGCTGAGGTTGAGTCCCAATAGAACCAGTAGCTACTTCCTTCACGTTCCAGAGAAATCCATTTCAACAGTTTCCTCTCTACTTTTCTTTATGAATAAAAGAGCACTTATGCCATTAAAGGGGATGCTTTGCTACTGACTTGCCAAGGGAATACTGAAGGAACATATTTAGAGACTAGCAGAGGGTCTGGCAGGTGGTGATGGAGACAAGAGCCTCTCTCTGCAGCAGTAGAAGCCTCTTGCCTGTGAAGTTCCAAGGTTATACCAGGAAAAAAGGACCATGGATTAAGCCAGGAAGGGGTGAGCTAGAGCATGCCCTTGATTTTTGTGTCTGAATCTCCTGTTTTTGTTGCAGATATATTAGTGGATCCTAGAGCATGCCTGATACATAGCAGTTACCTAATAACGTTTGGTGGGTTGAATTAAGTGGAACTTATCCACTCACGCCAAATGTGAAGTCAAAGCTGACAGCCCTGAAGAAAAGACCTGGTGCACGTGGCAAGCTTTTCTTGACTGGTTCCGAAGGATGCATCGGAGAAATCAGCAGAAAAAATGGTGTTGATGAGATGGGAGCCCAGAGTGTAGTGAAAGGTCCTGCGCATGGTACAGCTGCTGGAGTTTAATAGGATTTGTAGTGGTCCCAGGGTAGGAAATTTGCCTGCATCTCTTTTACTGTATGACTGATGGCCATGTGAGCAGGCAGTGACAGTGGAGTGCTGTGGGTTTTCCCTGAGCTCTGAGAGCACTGGTGGGGATGGGTAAGCTGCCAGAATTTCCACTTTCATCCAGAACCATCTGCATTCTGATGACTGCGTTCTTCTGGGCCTGTTATTAGCTTTTCCCCTTCAATAATTTACTAAGTGTATAAATACTTGTCAGAATGTGGACATGTGTTCCTATGGTATTTAGAAACCAAATTCTCCAGTCCCTCATTATCTTAGGAACTTGTTCACAGAATTTGAACTCCAAATGCAAATGGAGATGTGGGAAATTGCTACTGTCCTCGAGGCACTGTGTTTTATGAGTGTGTCATGATTCTGAAGTGCAATGTTTCATGTCTTCAGTAGAAAATTATTCAGCATGTTGTGGGAGAAGTTGGGGTGCTGTGTTTCAACAGAAATTTATAAGACGTTTTAATTATAAATGATAAGTATGATGAATGCGTTGAGTTTTTAAGGAAACGTTAACACCATTTACATAGCTTTAAGATTTCACATTTAAAATTTTAAAATACACGCTAGCCAGTTTTCATTAAATATGACACTTGCGTTTTTATTTTACTTTATTTTTTTCACTGTACTGGGAATTGGACTTAGGGATGCTCTACCACTAAGCTATATCCCCAGCCTCTTTATATTTTATTTTGTAACTGGGTTTTGCTAAGTTGCTAAGGCTGGCTGAACTTGTGATCCTTCTGCCTTGGCCTCCCGTGTCTCTGGGATGGTAGACGTGTGTCACCACATTGGTGATACTTGAGTTATCGTCGAGCTTTCAGTGTTTGACACTTACAATGCTATGGAGGAATAAGTGGTCCAGATTAAAAAGGGTCATAGGGCAGAGAATTCAAGATATTGGCAATAAACCACTGACGTCTGAATGAAGCAAGTAGTGCCATCAGTCATATAAATATTTTTGGGTGACAGCATCCGTGGTGTCACCTGAAGAACATCGGCCTGGAAACAAAGACATTTGGTCCTAACCTCAATTTCTCCGTGTGATGATGGAGAATCTCTTGTCTGGGTTTTCCTATTTGTGAAATTAGGATGATATCAGACTCCCGGGAATGGAGTGAGGCTCAGGGAAAATAACGTAGGTACTTTGAAATATCCCAGGCATAATACCAATTGTCAATCACAAGACTATCCTTTCTAAACAGCAGTGAGTGCAGTGGACATTTGAAAGGTATGTGGCGGTGGGCTCAGGGGTGCTGCTGTCTGGGCCAAGGGGCAGCCAGGACCACCCACCGGTAGGTTCTGCTCTTGCCTGATCTCCCGCTGTGACTTGGTCTGATCATTGACTGTCCTTCACTGCAGAACCGATGGACACATCTCTGCTGAAGTGTCCACAGGGCAAAACCAGAACAAAAGTTCCTCCCTTGAAAAATAAAGGAAACCAGGTGTAAGTGACTTAATTTCAACATGAATTTATCTACAACTTTGTCTCCCAAACCCCAAGACTAGCAATTATAATTTAGAAGTGTCTATTTACAGTGCTCAAGAGTTGTTTTGTGGGGTATTAGGATCATCATCATCAGCATCATCATCATCATCAATATTATTATTTTGCAATGTAATTGTCAATTGAACTTTGGATCTCGCTTTTCTAGGTCTCATTCCATTTCTTCCCTTCAAACCTTTCAGTTCCTTTTGCAGGACACGGCTGAGGATCTAGCCTTTTCTTGCTATACCTTTGTAGAGTAGAGCATACTTCCAGGGAAAAACATAATTAATAGGCCAAAATGAGAAGCAGAATATATGAAAAAGGAAATAGTTTCTATATGACAGAGATCACCTATGGTGTATTAGTGGTGAAGGGAGAGCTCTTTAGAAAATGGACTTAGAAAGAATTGTTACTTATAGCTTAAAAACAAATGTTTTGGGCCTAGCTTATATCACATGTAAAAATCAACTCCAACCATATTGAGAGGTTAACAAAACCTCAAGTACCGTTTTCACCATAAAACATGGTGAGTGTAGTTTATTATATCATAAGGTGACGAGGAATTCCAGTCACCCTGATTTGACCACTATGTAATGTGTATGTATATTGAAACATCACACTTGACACTATAAATATATACTATCATTATGTGTCAATTAAAAAAACTAGCTCTGTGATATCAGAGACCATTTCTGTCTATTAAGGATCTGTATTCTCTACCATCACCAGTGTTCACCATACGGCAAAAGAATAGCAAATGTTTTCTGAGTGGAAAAGAAAAAGTTACAATGAGTGAATACCTTATCTATATGGGAGGATTTCTTAACACAGTAAAGCACCATATATTAAATATCAACTTTTAATAGTAGACTATATCAAATAAAAAGTGCTGTGTGTGTGTGTGTGTGTGTGTGTGTGTGTGTGTGTAATAATTTGAGTGGGAACATGGCTGACGTGCTGGGGTAGCACTGTCCCCTCTGCTCCCTGCTCTTTGAAGGTCCCACGTGGAATGTTGGATAAAAGACGAAACATGGCAGGGCCAATAAAAATGTGAAGAAAAACACTCTCTCATTAATAATTGGAGAAATACTTTTGAGACCCCAGTTGTTATTTCATGCTGATTTGATAAGCAAAATATGAAGAAGACTTGAATTAATGTTTTAAATATTGGAGAAGATGTGTATCAAAAAAGAGAATTAATTGTTGAAGAGTAAATTTGCAACCATTTTATGTTGTGAATTTGCTATTTTAACAAATTTAAATTTATGTTATAGAAATTTAACACTCCCATAGCTTAAAACCTAGCAACACTTAATTCATATTTATCTATATCTCTGCTTACATGTATATGTGTTTGCACATGCATGCTTCCATGGTTGGTGAGTGAAGGCTTATGAGGTAGATATCCTTAGCAGTCTGTTTCACTATGGAAAGTGGCTGATATTATTCCTTTATTTGGGTGCACTGAAGACACAGAAAAGAATGTAGATCAGACATTAGAGAATCTTAGTACTATACTGATGTGGCTCATTTCAATCTGGGATAACTAAACTTTCTAATTGTTATCCCTCAGTCACCAAGGGCATAAGATAACTGATGATTTTACATTTTTGTGATGGTCAAGTTAGATAGTGTATATTTTTATATGACATAAAAGTAAAGCAATGTACCAATATACCAAAACACATTTACTTAGCTATGTATTAATTATATGCAAACATGAATCAGATATGTATCTTATCCTCACACATTTTTATGATTGTAATAAGATTTATACAGAAATAACTATGGAAGAAGACTAAAAGTCAGACACGAAAATAGACTTTAGCTCTCATGGACATGATTATAATCCAGTTAATATTTGAATTTTATATATAGCAAACAAGAAAAATATTATTTACTCATAATATGTATGCTTGCATTATAAAACAGTTTCCCCTTACAAAACTGATGGATTTTAGTAGGAATAACTATTGCTATTATTAAGCAAATACTTATGTAATATCTTGTTATTGGAATAGTTTGCTAGATTTCTACTCTTAGTATTACTAGCAATATAGAACAATGTTAATATTTTAAATTACTTCAAGCTATCTTCTCTTTCCTTTCATAGTTCTGGTAATTTACAAAGGTTAGAATTGACTTATATGTTGTGTGTTGCTAATAGTGGAGATGGTGGACTCTTCATGCTAGTTTTTCAATAGCACGTAGACAGGCGGTTTACTGGTATTGCTTGTTAAATCACAGTATCCCACCTTCCTTGTAGAGACTCTAAGTAGTTGAATTTTTAGTCTCAGATTGAATTTGAAATCAAAATCAGCATCTCTCTGTGTGTGTTGCTGAATGATGAGGGGAATAGGATTTTTAAAAGCAGGAGCAAGAGGAAAAAAAAACGGTCCTTGTAATTTCAGCAATGTCCTTTCAGTGACTTGAATCTACTTCTCACTATCTATTTCTGGACCTATAAAAATCCCAGGGACTTTCACCTAGCAAAACCAGACAGCATGGGAAGATCAGCTATAGTGATATAATTCAGAACATGTCCATAAAAATTGGCCAAGAACCAAATCACTGTTTTTATATATGTACCTTTAATTAATTGATTGATTGATTTTATGTGGTGCTGAGGGTTGAACCTAGTGCCTCACACATGCTAGTTGGTGCTGTACTGCTGAGCTACAACCTCAGCCCCATATTTTTTTTTATTCTTGGTAAAATTCCTCTTGAGGAATCTGGAGATTTTATAGAACTCTGAAAAATCCAACCCTTCCTTTCTTTTTGACAGGTGTTTAAGGCTTCTTTCTCCTGTGTTAAATTTTAATTTAGGATCCCAGGTATTAGAATAATATTCAAATCTGGGGAGTACTCCAAGACTGCATCCTGTCATTTTAACTATCAATTAAGTGTTGAGGAGGAGGCTGCAGGGCCTGGGTACTGACCCTCTGCAGGAGCCTGGCTAGATCCTCTAGGCAGCACATGCTAATGGATTTATCATGTGGAAAAAAACGCTCTAGAAATCAGATATCTATTTCCGAGTTAAAAACAAAACTTTAACCAAAGACTCGATCTGATTTGTTTTCTTACCTATAATATTACAGAGTTATTTGTAACTATTATTATCCCCACAAAATTTACAATGTGTTTTGAAATATTTTAAGGAATGTAATACATGGATGTGAGAGAGTTTAATGAACATATTATTTTCCTGGTTTAAAAATGCCTCCAGATTACATTTTAGACTATCTTATTTTATACTCCAGTTGACATTCCTTTTTCTTTTGGGAAATTAAATCATCCTTTAATTATCAGTTAAAATAGGAATGAAATAATTTCTTGGTACATATTGTATTGAGCAACTATCCCTTAATAGCAAAAGAAAGGTTTGGTGAGAGCAGAGAGTAGACGAAACATATTTTTAAGAATAGCAAATACATTAATGCAAAAAGTGAGGCAAAAATACCATTTATCTCACATTAAACATGATTATATCCTGACAATACCAGAAATTTGGTCAATAATAAAAACGAACAAATATATTAATGCCAATTTTGGTAAGAGTCATAGATATAAAAATAATAATTTTAATATTCTATTAACTTTAATAATTGATAAAATAATAATGATTAACTAGTAACAAAGGCATATCAAGAGAAGAAACTGATATTGACATTTAAATTTAATATTGATAATAGATATTAGGAATTGCAGAGTCAACACATTTAACAATTTTTTTTTCCTGACCAATCAGGAATTGTGTATCTCAAGGTGGGCAGGTATCCTTTGAAAACTCAATAGTATTTTATAACATCCTGCCGCTGGCAAAGAGACATAGGTGAGGGTTCGTGTTCTAAAACTTACCTGTGAATCCCAACATTTTCACTGAGTCTCACAGAATTCTCTTTGATCCTGAGTATACATTTTCCTGTTTTTTCATCCAGTATTTACAGTTAATTTTCATTCTTGACCTCTATATACAGTTTTGCTTCTAAGCCTAGAGAATTACTCTGTGCCACATGTAAAATAAATTCACCAGAAAATATTCTTGAAAGATACTCAAGAACTATTCCAAATATCACTTGTTTTTATCTTGCTACTTCTTGATTGACCTTTTCTTAATTTTTTTATTCTTTAATTTTTCTTTTGTCTATTTGTTTCACCGTGGGGTCAACTACATAATGAATGTATGACATTCTTAATAAAATTAATGGCATTGTTTTATTTAATCCAGAGAGATGATTTATTTAGAAGATGGATATGAAAATTTTGCACTGGAAAGTCGGAACAATGGCACTGTTCTCTCTTCCTCTGGCTAAATACAGTGCACTGGGAATTTTATTTAAAGCAAAAACAATACTCTGAAATGTGGAGAGAAGACAGCAGACGAAGACTCCAGAAACTAAAGACATGTATTGTATTCTCCAGAGTTTTCTTCTTGCTAATCATCATGGATACTGGAGCTGAAGAAGCTATCCACCTAGATAAATCAGCAAATACAGGAAAAACTCAAAACAAACCAAACCAACCCAAACCAACCAAAAGGCTTTCTCTAGCCAAAGAATCGGGAAAAGGATAAACTGATGAGATAGGACTCCGTGAGACAATAACCTTCCTACTCCAGGCAGACAGCTCAGAGAAACCGTCCTCTGCCCATGCTGGGAAAGGCTAAGTAAGGAGACCTTCTCGCTTCTGGGCCTGAGAGATGGTGACCAACATCCTGTTAGGATGCTGCCAGAGAAGGCCAAGGAAGGAGCTGGAAACTAAATCAATAAAGCCCCTCTCTAGGGTGCTCCCTACGGAGCAGCCTAAACTTCCACTCTGCCTAGGAGTAAAGGGAACCCTGGGCTTCTCAGCAAGGCTCTGCCCTGAAGTGGGCAAGGACTGACCACTCCCTACAGGCATCAAGAAAAAAAATTAAAAAGGCAGAAACACACAGATTGTTTTATTAGTCAAAACATGAAAATGAACATGAATGCATTTTTTTAAATACAGAGAGAAGATAGAGAAATTTTAATATTTATTTTTTGGTTTTTGGTGGACACAACATCTTTCTTTGTATGTGGTGCTGAGGATCGAACCCACCCGAGCCACACGCATGCCAGGCGAGCGCACTGCCCCTTGAACCACATCCCCAGCCCGAATATGAATGCATTTAAAAAAATAATGGTAGTCACTTAAAAAAGGGACTCTTTGAGTTAAGGAAAACTTTCCTGAAAAAATTTATTGTTAAAACAATGTGTTAACAAGGAATAGCATGAGTCTTGTAAAATATAACCAACAAAATATAACTACTAATAAAGCTGTAGGTCTTCAAAGAAAAGGGAAAAATCCCTTCATCACCCAGAAAAAATGTTCAAGGAAAAGAAAATTAGGTATATTTTGAACATCACTTGATGACTTTTATGCAAAATGGAGGAAAAAAAATGAGTAATAACTAGAACACTCAAGGAAAGAATATAAGAAAAAAAATTGTATCCTGCCAAATTATTGCCCGTATGCAAATCTATATGGACTTACATAAAGGGAACATTGTTTAAAGAAGCCCTTCTGAAAGAACTTTGGAATCTGACCCAGAAGAAAAGTCTAAGTTTACACTTTTCTAACTGTATGGCTTTCTCTTTCAAACTGTAATTTTGTTTACACTCAGTATTTTTAGACTGAACGATGACTTCAATAATACCTACCCCACTGGATGGTGTGATAACTATATTAGATAGCAAATAATCTGCTTACACAGTTCCTAAAATGATTTGCTCACCACATTTCTTTCTGGTGAGATGAATTGTCACAGAACATGGACAGATGTATGTCTCAACCTGCACTAGGAATTGTTTTTCAATTGGCTTCTCACTTTGCATTAATGTAATTCCTATTAGATTAAAACCCTCAACAATGGTTTCCTGATAGATTTCTGACCTTCCCACCTATACAGTTCCACAGGTTTTTGGCTTCCTTGTTAGCACTGAGAGCTGACAGGATTGTGGAAATGTCTGCTGTTTTTCAGAGCTATAGTAGAGCAGGCCTACAGGTTTAGTTTTGATTACTGCACTGTATGAGTTTTTTTTTTTTCCTTTTTTGCTCATGAGAGTAAAGTGTTCCTATAGGCCAATGGTTTCTGAAAATATCCATTGCAGGGCTGAGATGAAGCCCAAGTTTGCTGATTTCACAGGGTCTGGGATAGAAGCTGGAAAAGCTCAAACTCTGGGACTGTGGCCGAGATACAACTAATGACCTGCGACACCGGAGGAGAGACGGAGCATTTCAAGCCAGGATGTGAGTCAAGCCAGTTTGGCTCAGCAAAGTCATCTGTAATGTCCAAATCACTTCTGCCACGACCAGCACAGCCAAACTAGTAGTTTCCAGTGAGGGGCGATGGACGATTGGAAGAATTAAAGAGTCAACACATGCAGACCTTGAAGATAAAACAGCTGGGGTTGGATAGAGTGCTGCTCTCTGATGGAGAGATGATGGGTCTAAAGAATTACTCTGGCAATCTTGATTATGTATGTCTCTAAATAAGATTAAAGACTATGTAAGCGTTATTCTTTGTATTCATGAAAGTTACAGAGTTAGCAACCGTATGCAGCTATTTCCTCAGACACATTCTACAGCTGCAGTGTGCAATGTTAGGAGCATTGTGCAGCTCTCAAGAGAGTCCATTGTTCAAAGTTACTAATTCATGGGCAGATTCAGGAGCAGTGGAACTGGTCATCTTAGCAAGGAAGTTCCTTCATCTTAGCAAGGAAGTTCTCAGGAGCTGCTGTGCCTGAGAAAAAGGCTGAGGCTGATGAGACTCTAGCAAGGAGGACATCTCCATAGCAACCTGACATCCTGTGCCATTGCACAGAAACCTTCCCAGTCACCAAGCATGCCACAGCCACGAAGTCATCAGGGACCCCAATCTCAGACACTGGTCTCCCAATCACTGTCACTGCTCTCCACACACTTCTTTTTAAAAAATTATTATTTATTCTAATTTGTTACACGGTGGCAGAATGCAATTCGTTTCATATTACACATACAGAGCACAACTTTTCAAGACACTGATTGTACACAGCATTTTTACACCATTCGTGCCTTCATACATGTACTTGGGGAAATGATGACTCATTCCATGATCATTCCTAGCCCCTTGCCCCCTCCCTTCCTTTTGCCCTCCCTCCCCTTTGCCCTATCTCGAGTTCCTCCATTCCTCCCATGCTCCCCCTGATCACCATTATGAGTCAGCATCCTCATATCAAAACATTTGGCCTTTGGTTTTTGAGGATTGGCTTGCTTCACTTAGCATTATAGTCTCCAACTTTATCCATTTACCTGCAAATGCCATAATTCTCTTTTAGCTGATTAATGTTCCATTGTGTATATATACCAAAGTTTCCCTATCCATTCATCTACTGAAGGGTATCTGGGTTGGTTCCACAATTTAGCTTTTGTGAATTGTGCTACTATAAACATTGATATAACTGTGTCCCTGTAATATGCTGTTTTGCAATCCTTTGGGTATAGACTGAGGAGTGGGATAGCTAGGTCAAATGGTGGTTCCATTTCCAGTTTTTCAAGGAATCTCCATGCTGCTTTCCAGATTGGCTGAACCAATTTGCAGTCCCATGAGCAATGTATGAGTGTGCCTTTCTCTCCACGTGCTCACCAACACTTATTGTTGTTTGTGTTCTTGTTAACTGCCATTCTGACTGGAGTGAGATAAAATCTTACAGTAGTTTTGCGTTTCCTTAATTGTTAGACATGCTGAATTTTTTTCGTATGTTTACACAAAAGTGCCAAAAACGTACATTGGAGAACAGATAGTCTTCTCAACAAATAGTGCTGGGAAAATTGGATGCATTCTAAGTAGACTTGAAAAGGAAATTTATAAATTTAAAGAAATTAGAGGGACATTTCTATAGAATATGATAAGGATATATATAAATTAAGGGCCCTAAGGCAGGGAGATGAGAGGTTCTAATGTTAGTCAAATAAAATTAAAGAACAGTAGAAGAGATTTAAAAATTGAAGAGAACTAGAGAGTGGAAGAAGACAAATAATACATAAATTTCCTCTGGTGGTCAGTGCAGCAGGACCAATGGACACTCTCAGCTCCAATGTGATGTGGCAGGTGTTGCCCCAGGATTCATGTTCCCATGCCCTGACTTGGATACAGAAGGGTACACTCCCCTAAGAGCACCTTCTGAACCACGATTGGTCAGATGGGGCTACGTGTGCCGTTCTATGTATCATGGAGAATTAAGGAATGATTAGACGAGTGATTAGTTGGACCCTCTGACATCAGAAGAAACTAGGGAAGCAGGTGGCATTCGCAGTCTGGGTTCTTGTCCATCTCTCACCCTCAGAAGCAGGGTTGAGAAGTGGTCCTAAGTGGCAGAATCAAAAAATAGGAGAATGGCAAAGATTACTTTGCCATTTCTAGTACGTCATTGGTGGTAGAAGAAATATTGAGAGTCCACAGTTTGCTGTTATAGGAAAAGCTGTTAGAAAGATTATCCCAGTGGTGAATTTGATGGAGAAACAGAGGGGGTGGGTGGAGTGGCTACTGTCATGGCTCTAGCACTGGAAAAGTATGAGACATGGCACCTTAAAGATTATGGAGTCAGGAGGCAGATGCTGAGCACCATTGGCTTTTTGTTATAGAATATGACAGGCTGCGTGATTGGTAACAATTGAAGATGTGTCTCTAAAGCTTGCAGAACATGAAAGGGGCATCCTTGTCTGGGCTCCCTGTATCTCTCGTTCCACTTTTCAGGGACTTGTCCACTGAAAAATGTGAGGTTGTGTCTCCCAAACCTGTATATTCTTGGGGCAGACTAAGAGTAAGGAACCATCTGGCCAAGACTTTTCCCCATTTCCCAGCCACGCCTTGTAGATATCCACGTGTGGTCTTTCCCACAGCACAAGTGGGCATTTCTGACACACATACGGGTTCTGGCACCCAGAAGCTCACCTCTATCCTTTAGAAGATAGGGTGCTCACATGGAAAGCAATTCCAGGATGAGGTTTCCTACTGAGCTCCTCCTGGGACACATCCCCTTCTCCTTCTCCCCAGGAAGCCAGGGAAAGTGATTTAGCCACACTGTCACTCCAGCTTCCAAGTCCCAACAGAAGCCTCTAGATTCGCTCCTCTCTTTGGTTTTCTTGTCTGAGACAGTCAATGTGACCTCCTTCTATTCATCCTCCCAAATTAGTTTCACTAACAGCGAAAAGTCAGCCTGTCCCTCTGGTCTCCTCGGGAGCCAAAGTTGCTTCTGCAGTGTTTCTCTCTAAATCAACCCACTAGCAACTTCCAGACCCCCTGGGTCTCACACAGGCTGCGTTTCACAGCTCACAAAAGAGTTTCTCAAAATCTCAATACATGCAAAGAAGCCTATTTTTCTTTCTGTTGATGTATGATGAGAAACTTGACTTCAGAATCTTGGCAATGTCCCACATAAACAAATGCTTGTTTCAGTAACTCTAGTCACTCATCCAAAGACAAAGGGGCCCCTGGTTGTGACTCTATAGAATTCCTAATTTCAAGACCTGCAGAAGTTGAATCTGTGTTCCTCTGCCACCCTCAAGCCCTGGCAGCCTGTTTGGACAGCACAGTCTCAAAGTTTAGCTCAGTAACCTGTTTGTCCGCAGACTTTGCTAAAAAGCAGTGGTAACTGGGGCTCTTTCCAGATGGCATCCCAGGGCAGATGCATTCACCCTCATCTGCTGACAACCCATCCACCTGGAACCCCTCACTTAGCATTACCCTTGTCCTTGATCACCACCTCCCTCCACACATCTCCCCCTGGGGTAACTTGTGGCCGTGATTGTGCACACAGTGGTGAGAAAATCCTGGTCTCTTGCCTAATTTGGGAAAACTCTGGTGAAGTAATACGATCCCTGAGCCTTCTGCAAAGGCATGTCAAGCCTCCACTGTGATTGCAATGCAAGGTAGCTTCTTTGACTTCCTACTACTCCTGCTCTCACTCCGCCACTGACACATCCCACAAAACACACCTACCTCCGGAAAACCTTCTTCATGGAATTCTCCGTCTCAGTGTTTATTTCCCAGGAGCTGATTCTAAGATGGTTGGTATCAGAAGTGGTCCTAAGTGGCAGAATCAAAAAATAGGAGAATGACAAAGATTACTTTGCCATTTCTGGTACGTCATTGGTGGTAGAAGAAATATTGAGAGTCCACAGCTTGCTGTTATAGGAAAAGCTGTTAGAAAGATTATCCCAGTGGTGAATTTGATGGAGAAACAGGGGGGGGGTGGGTGGAGTGGCTACTGTCATAGCTCTAGCACTGGAAAAGTATGAGACATGGCACCTTAAAGATTATGGAGTCAGGAGGCAGATGCTGAGCACCATTGGCTTTTTGTTATAGAATATGACAGGCTGCGTGATTGGTAACAGTTGAAAACAATCTGTAAGAGCCAGAGGACTTTCCTAATAATACTGAAATGCTAACTCTGTAGCCAGAGAGATGACATAGCAGAGAAAATGTTCAGGATCTAATTGTGAGAGCAGGCCTGGGTTAACTGCTTCCATCTCTCAGATGGTACCTGGGCCATAGGAATACTCTATGGTGTCTTTATGTCAGTGGTACAGTGTTCAATTAACCTGATTGCATAGGCAAGAAGTGACACCTATGTAGAAGCCCTTGATACCTGTATTTTTTTTTTTTTTTTTTTTTGGTGGTGCTGGGGATTGAACTCAGGGCTTTGTGCATGTGAGGCAAACCCTCTACCAACTGAACCAGATCCCTAGCCCTTGATTCCTGTATTCTACAGGATAGGAAATAAGTACAATGGCAGTCACTCTGGTAAAGATCTAGTAGTTTTAAGATATGTTTGGGCTTATGTTTGGTAACAGTAGAATATTGAAGCTCACATTACTAGAGACTAAAAAATGAAGCACAGAGCCAGGCTAACCTATTTGGGTTTAAGCTGCCACACATTTGGTGTATATAGACATTCTGCTCTAACTTACTTGATGGGTGCATACAGTAACTCAGTTTGACTGTGAAAAGAGTGGCAAGGTAGACCTTTACTCCAAAGTTGAGGTTGGTTAAACTTCAACTCCAGCTGGTTACTCTTCAAGAAATTGTCTTGAATTTGCTAACTCTTCTAACCTCAGGTAGTTCTCGGTACTTTATCTGAAATATACAAGTATAGATACATTGTCAGCTCAAGAATTTGGTGCTACTAAGGAGTGAAATGATGTGGAGCCATTGTAACTAGGTAGTAAATGGAGTTCTGTTGAACTGGTGATTGCATCTGATCTTTGTGAAGGTTCAGTATGTGTACATTTAAATAAGGAAAAATGGTACAAGGCAGAGAAAAAAAAGGATACAAGTGATTCACCTAGGAAGCCCATAGTAATGCTAGGGATTGCAGGAGAACTCTGATTTCAATATACAGGTGTGCAAGACCTCACACGCCTGCTATTGATGAAGGAAACCATTCTGGGATACAACAATGAGATTTAGAGTTAAGCAATTTAGAAGCTTTAGTTTAAATACATAAAACATCAAGCTTGTTCATCACTGGAACCTACATGAAGGAACTCTAATGCAATTTCTAAATTTTACAAGATTATGTTCTTTATTTTCAGTCACATTTACATAATAAAATATAGCAACCAAGACACAATTACCTCCAAATAAGAAATAAGGTGATTTTTCTCCAAAAGGTGATGTATAATTTTGTTCTTTTGTTCACAGGCTTTTTGACAAATGACATCGATTGATTAGTTCGCTGAGAGCCCTGAGAGTGGATTGCATAAGGCTGTCATATGTGTTAATTAATCAGCATGATGTAAACATATGAAAATAGAAGAGACATTTTATGAGAAAGAATTCAGTTGTGACCAATACTTTAGCTTTAACAAATGTGGTTTTCCTTGAATTTTGATATTTCTCTGTGTTGGTGACATCAACATTATTTTTGTTGTCTGTTTTTTATTGAGATGACTTGTTTTATCTGCGGGGGAGATAATGGCTTGTAGGAAAATCAGTTTATTGGAAAAAAATGTTTCAAATTGATGGATAGGACAGTCTTTAAAACAGACTGAGAGAATAATCAACTGAGATGCACCTTATGGAATTTGATATTTAAAACAAGTATAAACTGTGGACTTAGTGTTTTCACTTACTTCTTGTTCATTATATCTGAAGTAAGTTTTCCCTTCTCTAGTGACCTCTTAGTTTAACCATATTCTTGCTCCTGAATGCTCATATTGACATTTCCAGAACTTATTCAGTGTGTTCTCACGAGTTCTAGTTATAAATTTTGCACAAGAAAATTATAATGAACAATTATTTATACACTTAAATCATATTTTCAAACCCTTTTGTTTTAATTAAGTCCAAATTTTCCATTTTTTAATGTATTTTGTTCATCATTTAAAAAATATAAATCAGACTGTATTCTCTATCTTAATTCAACTCAAAAGACATATAATTGTTTTTCTTTCTATATTTAAACAGGGAGATGAGAGCCAAGGCAAACTTTGGGTGCCATGGGCATATATGTATATGTATATATATATGTATATATGTGTGTGTGTGTGTGTGTGTGTGTGTGTATTTATGAGGATTATTGTGATAACCTTGAAATGCATCCATTTTAAAGCCAATAAAATTGTGAATTTCCATGATCAACTTTGAAATAGATGATACACTTTCATAAAATATTCCAGATTTCAGAAGTTCCAAATGGATGAATAATGAGAAATGGACACTTCTGTCAATGTATGGTGAAAATATGCTTCTATGGTTGCTTCCTTGTTTGTTATTTTTAACTTTCCCATTTCAGGAAAGATTTAAGGCATGTTGACCTAGTTGTTTGCTACTTTTTTAGGGGGGAGTTTGAACTTCTCCCAAAGTAATTTACTGTAACCAACTGGAATAAATATTTCAGATGGTGCAAATGCTTCCCATTGAGAAGTTAAGTTAATTGTATTCATTTGGTGTCATTTTATAACTTCCCTCCTTTTTATTTCTCTTCTTTTCCTTCCTTTCTGCCTCCATTCCCACTCCTTACCTCCTTCCTTCCATCCTCCCTCCCTCCCTCCTTCCCGTCCTCTGTCCTCCCTTCCTCCCTTCTTCCATTTCCTCTGATAGTCTGGGCCCTTTCTTATTTTCCATGTCAGGGGAAGACTTCTTATGACTCTTGAGGGTTAGGGAAATGGAGTTGATTGAGGAAACAACTCTCAGGAGTTTTTTGTTTTTGTTTTTTTAATTTTATGTCAACAGAAGGACTTTTGTCCGTTGAGGTGTTACTTCCGACTTCTCCTGCACAGATTCTTTCTTTCTTTCTTTCTTTCTTTCTTTCTTTCTTTCTTTCTTTCTTTCTTTCTTTCTTTCTTTCTTTCTTTCTTTCTTTCT